ACCTCAACCCGAAATCAAACGTGCGCGTCGGATACATCTAGAAATCCGCTTCAATCTTGCCTAGTGTTTCATTCGATCCTCGATCTTTTACAGAAAACCTCTTTTTGAGCAAACTTTAACTCATCTTATGATAATATTTTATCATATTTGGTTAAAAACAGCGGATGCAAAGAAACATGAACAGAAGAGGTGAGAGATGCGTAAGCTCCGGGTGGGAGAAATCGTCTTCATTTGCCAAATAACAAAAGAAATGTATCAATAACATTGGCGAGCAAATAATCGTTATAAATATTTGGAAAATCGATGGAAAAGGCTACATATGTTTTGAAAATCAAACTTCCTTCGACAATGATTTATGCAGACTCCGTGTCATTTCTCACCTCCAATTCAGAGGTATTCGTTGATGTCACTGGCTTTCCCTGGACAAATCCAACGGTGAATTCTCTATAGTATAGGAAAAAAAATAGTGCTCTGCTATGGCTTAGGGTCTATAATCACGATTTCGGCTTGTAACTAGTTCAACTCCACAAGGTTTGTTTAGATATTCCGGATGCGCCTCTCACTATCTGTTTCACGCGCGTGTCTTGTGATATTCAAATCAGCCAAACCAGCTAAGAACTGGTATGAAATGCACATGTGCATCAGCTGACTGTGTCCCTTTAAACCTGCTTGCTGATTGGGTAATACAGTAACGTGGAAGATAAGTGGCGATGCGGGTCCTCGGGGGGATACTCCTGGGAATTCGTGGTGGGAATATGCCGCCCGGCTCTCTATGATCCTGACCTTATTTATTTCAGACCAAAAGAGGCACAATTTTTTACAACCGTTTTCAGATCTGGCCTTTAAAATTCATGCCCGTTTTCTGACTTGGCCTGTGTCATCATTACTTAGATTAGAACGCCGACAAAAGGTTTCTTAAAATCCAGTCCATTGTTCTGGCTCTTCTACGCCCACAAGTATTGACCGACATCGGTGATGTCAAAAGGACCAATCAAAACAGGATTCTTTACTAAAAAAATTGTCACCTTTCTGGCTACCAGAAACAGCGATAACAACACAGGAAATAACTTCGAGGGTAAAATCAGTTTCGATAATTTATGACTCAGTAGGGCAAATTAAACATTTCTTGTGGTTTTCTTTTATTTCTGGAACATTCGGAAATAAACGAAAGGCTTCTCGAACAGCATCGTCAAAAGAACATGAATGCGTGACGGATATTTTGTTCCAGACAAACATGCCAGAACAACGCGCCATCAGTCAACCAAATGGAACGCAAGGTTCATACAGTGAAGGTGGGAAGAGCCAGAGCAATGGACTGGCAACAGGCCCTTTTTTTTTCTCCTCCCCTCCCCTCGTCTCGCGCTTCGCGCAAAATACCGCGTTCGCCTCGCTTGGCTCATAAAGCGCCTGTTTTGCAGGCTACTATGGCGCGGTCATTCGTGTAGCCGCTGTAGACGCGGCTATTATGATTGCTGTTGTTCTTGGTCCTGAGATATATATGCTCGAATCCCTGAATGGGTAAACACTGATGAAACTCGGGGTGATGAATACTCATTAAAGAATCGTAGGGGGAGGCTCCGCCCCGCGGTCCAACCCCTTACCCTTTTATAATAATAATAATAATAATTTTATTTATATAGCGCTAAAATCCAATAATTGTCCAAAGCGCTACCTAATTACAAAATAGAATATAAAAAAAATCTAAATTATAAAATATCAACAATATACAATATAATTCAAATATAGCCTAAGTTATCTACTATATAAATCAAAAACGTCTTAAAACAAAAGGAATCTCATAACCTATATGCTAACTTAAATAAAAAAGTTTTAAGGGATTGCTTAAAAGTTGCCACTGAAGCACATTTCCTAATCTCTAGAGGTAAATCGTTCCACAATTTAGGTCCTGCAATAGAGAAAGCTCTGTCTCCATATGTTTTCAATCTGCTTCTTCGAACCACTAAATATTCTTTACATGAAGAACGCAATGACCTAGAGTATGTTTTAAAATTCAAAAGGTCAGAAATATAAGAAGGTGCAAGGCCATGAAGGGCCTTGTATACCAATAAAAGGACTTTAAAAATTATTCTAAACTCAACTGGTAACCAATGAAGATTAATTAAAATAGGAGTTATATGAACATGCTTCGGTGTCAGTGTGACAACACGAGCTGCAGCATTCTGAACTGCCTGTAGTCTAGCTAACAGATACTTAGGAAGGCCATGCAGTAAGGAATTACAATGATCAAGTTTCGAACTAATAAATGCATGGACTAAGATTTCACATGTATCTTGGCTTAAGTACTTGCGGATTTTAGCAATATTTCTCAAATGATAGAATGATGATTTACAAATGTTCTTAATGTGCTCCTCAAAACTAAATATGCTATCAAACTGAACCCCTAAATTACGAACAGAGTCACGAGGTGCAATGCACTCAGAACCAACAGTAACGTGACCGATGTCAGGCATAGGATGGAATCTGGAACTGATGACTACAAGGTCCGTTTTGTCCTGGTTTAGTTTAAGATAGTTTCTTATCATCCATTCATCAATGTCCCTCACACAAGAGTCACATCATTAGCATCATTACCTTGCGCAGAATTCTTCTCTATTAGTGTGGCATGGATACGATCAATCTTGTCAATGAAATAATCAGCAAAAGAATTAGCTAGTGCATCACTACAAGAAGATGGATACCGTGCAGTTGATTGCTTTTGTAATAGTTTTGTATACTGTATATACCATTTTTGACAGAAAAGGTACCCCTTTCATACACCTTTTATTGACAAATGGTACCCCTTTCACATACCAAGTTTCGAACATTGCATCTCAGTTAACTGCTGTCTCTAAAACATGAATAAATCACAAAAGCAGAACGTTTCCTCGACTTTTTCACAGCCATAAGATGCACCTGTTAGCCCCTTTGGGATTAAATTAACTGTAAAAATCGTGGACGAAGATCTTGCTAGTTGTAAACGTTGGATCCCTAGAAAAGAGATCTAATCAGCCAAATAAATAAAAAGAACCAAAAACGAGACGTCCAAAGACTACTGCAAAGCCGATTCAGAACAATGGCCCTTTTGGGCCCTTTAGGGCCTTTTTGTGTACAGACCGAAATGACACAATCATATACTTCACCTAGCGAAATCCCTACCCTGTCAAATACTTCAGGCCGGAAAAAGGAGCCCCTTTCGGGGGGAGCCTCCCCAAGGTTGTTTTAGGAAGTACCCACCTCCCGGGGATAAAACTAAGTTATTATACTTGTTATAGCTAAAATAAAGATTTTGTAAAAGACTAGTTAAGCAAATATTATGAACCTTCAGTAAGTTTCAAAAATAGCTTTTATTGTTTTATTTCGTATTCATTGGAATTATATAAAGATTGCATGTAAGAGATGTTACAAAAGCACAGCTTTAGCAGATTAAATAATGCAGAGATCAACAAAGGATTGGGTATTCGCTTAAGGTTAAGAGAGGATCGTCTGATTTTAAAAATGAATTATATACTAAAAATGATTGTACGGTACAAAAATCTAAGAGACTTAGTAAAATTGTCATGATTGACCTTTCAAATACAAAGAAAACTAATCAACTTCTATCCAAATTCATATTTATTTACGTTTTTATATCTTTTCACAAACTCTGACTTTGACTTTTATTTGGCAAAACGACCAAAAGTTTAAAGGTCGGACCATTAGAAAAGTCATGAGCAGCGTAAAATGGGGTTGAGAGGCCTACACGACTCTTCAGCGCGTATTTTAGCCTTTTTCATGGTTTGGCTCTCAGGAGTATGCCTTTGAGCGACCGCCCTCTTTTGTTCGATATGAGGGGCGTACTCCTGTAAATTTCGCTCAGTAATGGTTGTTGTTCTATTACATGCCAGTTTCCCCTGAGAATTTGCTTTAGGTTAGGCACTGATGGTTGGTATTGTGTGACAAAAGGCAAGATTCGTAGGTTTCTCTTTTGTTCTGGTGGCACAGTTTGGTACAATTTGCTTGCATAGGAAGTTACATGACAGTTTACAATGCACAGTAAACTACTGTTGTGAAATTGAATAAAATATTCTGCATGTAGCAATTACATTATTTACATGTATTCTGTAGTTGATTACCTTTAGATATTGCTGCAGTAAAATGTACACTAGGAGCCACTTAGTGGGTCAGGGGATGTTAGGTAATCCAAGAAACGACCCAGAAAATAAGATTTAATTTTAGTGAGTTTAGTTGTTTACTTCATATTTGCTGATAAATAAAAGTAACCTGTTGTCTTTGAACGATCTTTTTCTTTTCTTTCATTTTATTACATAGTGCTTAGTGCTTACATACATAGTGCTTCACTTCTATAATCTCTTTAATTGTGTCAATAACAAAATGCTTGAATCTGATTGGTTCTTATTATAGCTTAATTTTACTATTGTAACTCCAAAACTGTCCGATTTGACCTGTCTGATTATCAGGAGCTTGTAATCGGACAGGTCAAATTGGACAGTTAAAGAACCAATGAAAATCAAGTAGCAACTGCCACTAGCCAATGAAATTTAACTACATAGCACATGATAACCAATCAAAATCAATGAAAAAATAGTGACCAGGTAAGCTATCCAGTTTCAACTGGAAGAGAAAAATGGATGAAACTAACTGGTCCAATGACCTTTATTTACATTAATAAATATTCCAAGACCGAGATTCTGGCAATTTGTTACTGACACAATTAATTGGTAACAGGATTTTGTGTCGTACAATTCAGGGGTAATCAGGCGCGTAATTTCCAATCGGCCTCGCGTTACGCGCTCGGCCGATTTGAAATTACTCGTCTAATTACTCCCTGAATTGTACTCCACTCAGTCCTACTACCATTACTACTACCTCACCACAATAAAAATCAAAGAGGAGGTTGCACAATTGTCCCAACATCAAGAGGATGACCATCATACATGTTGGCACAATCATGCCGAAATCCGTTGAGAATTTTTCAGACGTTATATCATTAGATGCTTTACTTAACAAAATCGTGGACGTTTAACTAAGCGAAGCTGTTGAAGAGGAACCAGTCTTAAATCACCATTATCAAACCTAACTGACACCGAGAATTCACCCATTTTTGAGGTAGCTGTATTCTTCACGATACCAGTTCGGTACCACTCTGGCATTGCAGGTTTGTGAACAGCTATAACTGATGTATTGACTGATATTTCCCTCTTCTCTGGCTCCTTATCTATTATAAGCACTGGATCAGTCCGATTGTACACTCTTTTGAATGCGTTCTTGTATTCCAAGATGAACTCAATGTGAGTGTCATTTATCCCTGAGATGAAAGCCCTGTAGTAATTATTTGACCGATCTCTTTCCGTCCACAGTCCCCAAAACTTTGAACCAACCAGGATGCAATCTAAAGAAAACCAGAACAGACGCAAATTACTTTCCAAATGAAGAAAACATGACAGTAATGGAGTTGCATGCTTCTTTATACCATACATTAATGGAACTTAGAGTTTCCTCAAATAAGATTACACAAAAGACCTAAATAATTTTAGTTTACTTTGAGAATACGTTTAGATAACATACCTTAAGGGTCACAGTTACTTTGAGGCCAAATTTAAACAAGAGAGCAACTCAGTAAGTAGCAAACTACCAGCTATGCAGTTTGGCCGGTAACTATTGCTTGTGCACAGCTAGCCATATCATACTGCAGAGACAGCCATAAAGTTTGACCTCAAGGATAAGGGCCTTATTGTCGATAATAGAACCCGTTGTTTGATTGGAAACATGTGAAATGAACCATGCATCCCAGTAAGTGTGTGTATTTTTTAATGGTAGTTTGTGCTAAAATTTGGGAGGTATTGCCCCTGAAAAACCCTATCGAGCCCCTTTAAATCATTTGTTATCAGTACACTATGATAATGCCATTACCAGGAGTGGGACGACATCCGTATATTTCTGTTCTTAAGAAAACCGCCTTCGAGGTGCCAACATCCGGGAATATTTGTAAAGTTCTGGTAACAAACGGCTCTTTGAAATGGTACCTCACAACAGTGAAAGCGTCTTTGTTCCCCTTTATGATCTTTAAGAAAGAGAAAAAAAAGTGAAAAGGAGACTGAAACAAATTAGCAATCACCTTCCCCTGCAAAATACCATGTTACAACCAGTCAGAGAAAGAACTTACAATTCTTTACTGGAAAGATCCCGCCTTGTTATCACTGGTAAACATATTGTACGACTAATGGTTAGTTCTTCAAACACAATAATGTACTTCACCCACACAGGTGCTTAAATCTGCCTTGTTTCATTAGTAATTACTTATAATTCAACTTGTTCAAGTTTCAATGCCTAAATATTGCTTGTTTGCACGTGACGTCACGGCAGCCATGTTGGTGGTGTGTTAGGGTTCATAACAAAAGGATTTCGTTCCTCTGGGAACTAAACCTTATTTTCATGTAAATTCTTCGATAAAAAATTCTATTGTGTTGACCACCAACACACCACCAACATAGCCTCCTTATCACGTGGTTGCAAGCCAAGAATAGTATTTGATTATACCTAACCTTTTCTATACCAGACTCTGTATAAGGAACTGGCTTTTTTTCACCAACGAAAAAGCGAAGTCTGTATTGCTTCATCCATTCAGTGTTCACGTTCGCTCCTCCCTGAGTAGCTATAGCAGTGATTTTTAACCTATAGGTTTTACTGAGGTCGATCTGGAAAAACGCCTTTACCGATGTACCCCATGGGAAGCGTCCAGGAAGTTGGCTTTGGTAACGAAAGTCGGCCGACGTTAAGTTCTCCGTATGAAGTAACATTCCACAATCTAAAATTAAAACTAAATTTTACTCTACTCTTGTCTTAACACGTGGATGCGTAACTATCAGGCAGCGTTACAGCCGGCTTACCCATCATCTGAATCACGAGCGGTGAAGATTATCTGCGATGAAGGCGTAGAATTTTTAAAGGGTCACGAGGTATGGTTGTTTATGGTCAATTCTGTCATAACTAAATTACATTAAAGTGCCCTTACCCATTAAGAAAATGCCTCTGTGTGAGATATCAAGAAGATATCAAGTAAAACTCATCATAGCCTGTTCAGTTCAGGTTCCAAGATAGTGGGGAAAGCGTAGCGAGAAAAATTGCGCAAACCGCGAAGAGATGGTGAGGGACGGGTAAGTGGGGTATGCAAGCATCGTTTTCAATAAATCATTGCGGTATACCAGCTTTTGGTATACCTTATGATTAGTCAATTTTGACAGTTGGCGTCAAACAGGTTATTAGGGACTTATAATTAAAGATCCAAGGACGCGACAGAGAAGAGAACGTTGCTTAAAAGGGATTTGCCTTCTTTCAGTCTTTATCACAATTATTCCTACTTGCTTACTATGTCAAATAAAGGTGAAACTGCTGAAGATCAATTCCAAGGGACCATATCCAAGCCCCCCCCCCAAAAAACGAAGCCGTTGCTTGTTTACGTTCTCCATAAAACGCAAAAAATTAGGCATTTTCACGTCCTCGTTGTGAAAAAACGGCAAAGAAATGTACAAAAAAATTGTGATACACGTACAAAATTGTTGTCTTGCTTATGAAACCTATCGTTACCAGACATTCTCGTTGCCGTCGCGTCGCTGGATCTTAAAGACCCTTTAAGATCCAACGACGCAACCGCTGGACGAGAACGTCAAAGACAATAAAGCACAAATACGCATACACACAAAAAAACAAACAAACAAAGAAACAATAGGTTTAATAAGCAAAAAACAACAACAACAGCAACAACTTCGCAGGTGCATCACACTTTTTGTTTCATTTCTTTGCCCTTTATACACGACTTTGATGTGAAAATGCCTAATTTTGCGTTTTATGAATAAGGAAAACAAGCAACGACGAAATTTTAATTCTCTAACTTCAGAGAGAGGAGGTCATTTACGAGAAGTATCATATGAAGTATTCAAACTTTAGCTCACTCTATAAATCCATGTAAGTTGTTTTATATTTAGACTGCAAAACAGTCCGTATTTTTTGCGTATTAAAGTATGCGCAAGCAGTCAAACAAAAGGTCTAGAACCAGACTGATATTTTTCTCTCGCCTCACACTCCCTTACAGGCGTGTGAGGCTAGCGCGCTTCAGGCGCGTAAGACCCTATGCCACGCTTTACCGATTTCTTTACTGATTTTAAGAAAAAAAACCCGACTGTTCTGCAGTCTGTTTTACATTTTACATGTTTTCAAGCATGTTGCATCACTTGGTATCTGACACTTCAATAAGCTTTGAACTAAGCTTTTTCATGATTCGCTGTCACATCTCATTGACCTTTGGTCGTCGAACACCGATTGATGAATAACCAGAATTCGTGCCGTTATGACCGTTCATTTCACGTTGTGAGTTATATCGCATTATCTTTGCCTGGGAATACAGCCGTCTCTTCTCAGACGCTCCTCATCGTTTACACTTCAAAGCTACCTGTATCTAAGCAATTGTGAATAAAATAGTTGAATTAAATAACAGTCTTGTTTACTGTGTTGTTCAATTCAATTTCAACGTTCATGATCCGCCCTGATTCCTTCTGTTGATACTGAAACTATTAAATAGGAATTTCTTATTCACGTACACAATTATGAAAGCAGTTCTCAACATCAATCGCACCTTTCGGTAAACGCACATGTTCGCCCGCACTTCGTAACCGTTGATTACTGATAGTACTATCTTTGTGTTGACACTTACCAAAGCACATTGTCCTATTGACCGACTCCTGGAAACCTTTTGAACATTTACAGGTCTTGTTGTCTTGAGACATTTGGCATTCATTTGGACACTTACAATAGTAACTTTCAGGACTATTGACACACATATGGCTGCAGTTGTTTTTAACATTCTCATTGCGATGTGGAGGCTGAAGCACTGGGGATGTGGAGGCCGAAGCACTGGTCGACACAGTGGCTGACACAGTAGCAGAGGTAGAGGCCGATACACTTGGCGACACACTGGGCGATGTGGTGTCCGAAGCACTGGTCGACACACTGGCTGACATGCTAGCAGATGTGGAGGCCGAGACACTTGGCGACACACTGGGCGATGTGGAGGCCGAAGTACTTGTTGACACACTGGCTGACACGCTAGCAGAGGTGGTGGCGGAGACACTTGGCGACAAACTGGGCGATGTGGTGTCCGAAGCACTGGTGGAGAAACTGACTGACACGCTAGCAGAGGTGGAGGCCGAGACACTTGGCGACACACTGGGCGATGTGGTGTCCGAAGCACTGGTCGACACACTGGCTGACATGCTAGCAGATGTGGAGGACGAGACACTTGGCGACAGACTGGGCGATGTGGAGGCCGAAGTACTTGTTGACACACTGGCTGACACGCTAGCAGGGGTGGAGGCCGAGACACTTGGTGACAAAATGGGCGATGTGGAAGCCGAAGTACTTGTTGACACACTGGTTGACACGCTAGTAGAGGTGGTGGCCGAGACACTTGGCGACACACTGGGCGATGTGGAGGCCAAAGCACTAGTCGACACACTGGCAGACACGTTAGCAGAGGTAGAGGCCGAGACACTTAGCGACACACTGGGCGATGTGGAGGCCAAAGCACTGGTGGAGAAACTGGCTGACACGCTAGCAGAAGTGGAGGCCGAGACACTTGGCGACACACTTACACTGGCTGACACGCTAGCAGATGTGGAGGCCGAGACACTTGGCGACACACTGGGCGATGTGGAGGCTGAAGTACTTGTTGACACACTAGCTGAGACGCTAGCAGAGGTGGAGGCCGAGACACTTGGAGAAACACTGGACGATGTGGAGGCCGAAGCACTGGTCGACACACTGGCTGACACACTAGCAGAGGTGGAGGCCGAGACACTTGGCGACACACTGGGTGATGTGGCCGAAGTAGTGGTTGACACACTGGCTGACACGCTCGGAGAGGTTGAGGCCGAAACACTTGGGGACACATTGGGCGATGTGAAAGCCGAAGCACTGTTGGAAACACTAGCTGACACGGTAGCAGATGTGGAGGACGAGACTAGCAACAACAATAATAATAAGTAAACTATGAACCGGGTTAAAAAACTACGAAATGGTTATCTGCTTACAAAATAAAACTATATTATTCAAAGCTATACCTTAGCTTTTGCCAAATTTTTTCGAACGTTTTGGTATTATTCTTAACTCTGGCAAAACACCAATGAATTGCTGTAATAAGTTTTTTTTAGGTCTAATTAAGCAAAGTACGAAACTACGGGGGGAAATTAGATGCTACTTACCCAAGCACATTGTCCCGTTGACAGACTCCTGGAAACCTTTTGGACATTTACAAGTCTTGTTGTTTTGTGACATTTGGAATCCATTTGGACAATTACAATAGTAACTTCCTGGACTATTGATACACAAATGGCTGCAGTTGTTTTTAACATTCTCGTTGCATTCATCGATATCTGGGAGACACCAAATTGAAATATGAATTGTCGTACTGACGATCAATATTTCAGATGTTACTTCACAGGAGTATACAAGGATTATTCTACGTCTTACAATTTTCGACGATTCAAAAAAAAATAATAATAATATTGCAGAAATCAAAATCTTTTTACTTTGTTGACAGTTTATACTTGAAAAAATATAATAACAACAACAACCATAATAATTAATAAACCATGAACAGGCAAAAAAATACAAAATGGTTATTTGCTTACAAAATAAAACTATAGAAGTACAAAGCTACCCCTTAACTTATGCCAAAAGTTTTCAAACGTTTTGGAATCATTCTTAATTCTGGTGAAATACCACTTAACTGCTATTAATAATAAGTTTTTTTGAGGTCTAATAAACGTAAAATACGAAACCACAGTGGAAAATTAGATACTACTTACCCAGACAAATGGTCCTGTTATTCGACTCTTGGAAACCTTTTGGACATTTACAAGTCTTGTTGTCTTGTGACATTTGGAATCCATTTGGACACTTACAATGGTAACTTCCTGGACTATTGACACAAAAATGGCTGCAGTTGCCTTTAACATCGGGATGGCATTCATTTACATCTGTAAAAAAAAAAAAAAGAGAAAGAAAGTGGTAATAAGTACTTCACATTAACTGTTCTATTTCTACACCTTCTTCTACTGCTCAATACTGTTACTGCAACTATTGAAACACCTATGGCTGCAGCTGCCTTTAAATTCCTGGTTGCATTCATCAATATCTATGAGAGACCAATTGAAATATTGCTGCAGACTAGGCTTTGCATATTTTATTTGTGAGGGGAGTGTAAGCGGGAACGCGCGGAAAAACTAACGCCTGCTTACAAACCATTGTCTGTTCCATTCCATGATCAAAACGGAAAACTAGTGATACCTACACCGGAGGAAGAGGGAAAGTAAAAAATTGTCAAATTCACATCGAGACCATAATGCACCTTGCTTACCCCCCAAAATTTTGCATAACCAATGTGTTGGGACGACTGAAATACCCAGGAGGGGGAGTGGGGGGGGGGGGAGTTAAACAAGGTGCATCATGGTCGCGGTGAAAATGGTAAACTGCCAACGAAACAACATGGCACAAATTGATGTTTACGTTTTATCTCAAGAAATTTCGAAATTCTTTTATTCTCTAGTTAAGACTTGCTGGAAGACATCAGGTCGAACAATCTGTGAGGAGGTTTATAGGTTTAAATGACATCATAGTTCTATCGCGCCACAGTTATGGATTAGCATAGCGGCATTGTTCATAATGTTGATATGATCTTGTAAATTAAAGTACATATAGTGGCAGAGATGACCAAGTAATCTAGCCTATCCACCGACGTTTTAATTCTTTTTTTTTCAACAATTCGACAGCGCGCAAGTGCGGACGGGAAGCGAAAACGAGAAAATAGAGGCTCTGTGAAAAGGCTACACGTGATCATTTCCCCGCCATTTTTCACGTTTGCCGTTTTATTTTCAAGATTAAAAGGTTGGTTTTCACGTTCAGAAAAGACAGGAGAAAAAAAGACAGGACAAGGCATGACATTTATTATCATAATATTGCCTGTACAATTTCTTTCTTGATGTCGAATGCACTAGGCAAATAATTAAACTACTCAAATAATTAAATTACTAGTTTACTTTTCATGTTGCACGTGAACGAATTGATAAGGGAGAGTCAAACGCCATCTCAGATTACAGAAAACCGACTGTTTGTGAACACTTCTAAGATGACGTACGTTCACCTTAGCTGGACGGTATGGAGAGTTATGTCTTCAAGGTATACGCAAAGCTTAAAAGCACAAGCCGCTTTGATTACAGACGGAAAACGGCAAACGTGAGGCAAAACGTGGTGCTTATTCTCTATAATGCCACAACAAAATAGAAAGGAAAGAGAAGGTTGCGTAAGTGTGCCAACAGTATTACCAGGGTAACGCTCATGCATGTTGGCACATCTATGCAATCTGCTGTGTGTTTTAGTATTCGTTACAAACCTTGTATTACATGCTTTACTTGACAAAATCGTGGTCGTTTAACTAAGCGAAGCTGTCGTATAGGAACCAGTCTTAAATCACCATTATCAAACCTAACTGACGCGAGGAATTCACCCATTTCTGAAGCAGCTGTATTTATCACGGTACCGGTTCGGTACCACTCTTTCATTTTAGGATCGTGAACAGCTATAACTGATGCATTGACTGATATTTCCCTCTTCTCTGGCTTCTTATCTATTATAAGCACTGGATCAGTCCTTTTGTACACTTGTTTGAATCCGTTATTGTATTCCAAGATGAACTCAATTTGAGTGTCATTTATTCCATAGATGAAAGCCTTGTAGTAGTTATTTGAGCGATCTCTTTGCGACCACAGTCCCCAAAACATTGAACCAACCAGGATACAATCTTAAGAAAAACAGAACAGTGGTAAGTTACTTTTCAAATGAAGGAAACATCAAAGCTATAAAGTTGAATGGAGGGCTACTTTAAACTATAGGTTTACGTGACTTACAAATTCCTCGCATAAGATTCAATGAAAGGCCTAATTTACACAGTAGTTTACTTTTAAAACTATTGAACAGGTTATACACACATAACGTACGTAGTGTTACAACAGGCCATTATACACTTATGGATGGAAGCAAGGCTGGAGTTGACCATGTTTTGCACAAACCTTCTGCTTTATTATGCAAATCACGTTTTTCTTATGCTTAAACTAGTATTTTTCAAGAGCAAATTCCATAACAAAACAAAGGTTTGTATCAAAACAAGGTCATCCTCAGCCTCACACATTCACTCAAAGGCTAGGGTACTACGTCTACAACTGTAAAATAATGGTCTATTGATTAATAAATTCCCAAATATAATTTACTTTGAACAGAACGAAAACACGACACTAAAATTATAATCTGAATACAAAGGTCACGAGATCCTCGCTCATATTTTCTTTCCTTGTCTGGTATAGTTATACTTTTGTTGTAGCTGGGAAGTTACTGATTTGCTGTGATAGTGACACAAATCCAAATATTCTATGTTGAAAATGCCGGGACAGTGAGTGGTCATGGGCAACATCTATACTATGATCGAGACTAAATACATGCCCCTTCCATAAAGTAGTATATATTCTGGCATCAATTTAACTTGCATCATTTACTTTAGCATGGCTCTCACTACGACTACAATAAAGTTTGGAAATCAGAGGAACCTACAGATTAGTCAGTTTTCAGCTGCTAGCAAAATACCGGCTAATCCGTGGGACGCGCGCACAATGTCAAACTTTGTTTCGTGGGAAGAGTCAGTTGTTGTGAACTTTTCGAAACAATGTATAACAAAACAATTTAGATTCGGTTTTTGTAATATCCGGAATAATCAAGATCCACTTAAGTTATATCAGCCTCGGCCACAAGCACCACCTCCTCCTTAATTCCTTGATTATTACGGATATCAGACGAACCTCATCCACTAATTGTTTATCAAATCATTCCTCTATCAGTACAATGAGATAATGCCATTACCAAGAGTAGGACGACATCCATATACTTCTGTTCTCAAGTCAACCGGCTGCGAGATGTCAACATCCGGGAAAATTTGTAAAGTTTTGGTAACAAACGGTTCTTTAAACTGGTACCTTACTACAGAGCGAGCGTCTTCTTTCCCCTTTATGATCTAAAAAAAAAGGAAAGAAAAAAAGAACAACGAGAAAAGTTACCTAAAGAGAACAGGTTACTACACGGTCGAAACAAACAACCCTCTCAGAAACAACCACAACCACAACAACAACAAAACAATTCTTTTCTGTGGAAAGAATCTAAAGTTATATAATAACGTTAAATTGATTGTACAGCTACTGATTTTCTCTTTTTTGCTCTTAACAAGTGTACTTCACTTACGCAGGTCCTAATCTGCCTTGTTTCATTTCAGTAACAATTAAAGGTTTAAAGAATAAAATGTTACACGCAAAACAATATGTATTCTGGCCTATTGGGTGCAATGTGTTTCTTTTCCCTTTCTTTTTTCCTGGGGTGGGGTTAGGAGATATATATCACCCCCTGTAAATTGATATCTAACAGGACAATTGCACGATGACGTCATTTTACTGCAACTACCAGAATCCTTCATTTTTTGTTTTCTTCGGCAAATTAACACTATTGTTCTTTAATTCTCGGCGGGATTGACAAATTTAAATAAGAAAGCAAAAACGAAATGAATTCTGGTAGTTGTAGTCAAAATGAAAATGGCCTAAATTTGCATGAATTTGATGTTTCTATTAGTTTGGTAAAAGATATCAAATGAACATTGCCTTGTATTGTCCTGCCCTGTATCGCTGGCCAAACCTCCTATAGTAAGTTAAGGATAAAAAGTCTTCATCTCACAGGCAAATAATTTCAGCAGGGGCTTCTCATGCGCATTTATGTTTTGAAAGTCTACATATATGATATCATTATATCTAACCTTTTGTATCCCATATTCTCTATAATGAACTGGCTTTGCACCAACGGAAAAGCGAAGTCCATATCGCTTCACCCAGTTGTTCAAGTTCGCTCCTCCCTGAGTAGCTATAGCCGTAATTTTGAACCTATAGGTTTCACTGAGGTCGATCTGGAAAAACGTCTTTACTGATGTACCCCATGGGAAGCGTTCAGGAAGCTGGCTTTGGTTGACGTAACGGAAGTCGGCCGACGTTGAGTTCTCCGTATGAAGTAACATTCCACAATCTGAAATTATAACTAAAATTTCATTTTTCTCTCGTCATAACACGTGCATAAGGAATTCTTAGTTAGCGTTGCAGTAGGCTTACGCGTCGTCTTAACATCAAGCGGTTTAGAGTGTCTCCGACGCGGGCTAGAAATTCGTAACCATATATTGTAGTTACTATATTAAATGGAGGTTATCCCCATCTATCTGGGGGGGGACAATCATTAACCTACGACGGCTTTAACTTCAAGACCATGTGGCTGCTGTAAAAATACGTAAATATATGAAATCATGTGACGTGACATACATTTTCTAGTGCGTCCATCGTTTCACCAATATCTAAACAACGGCTGCTTCACCATTTTTACCCGCCCACCCGACGTGAAGTTATTTTTTTCGGAATATGGTGAGATGCTATTTTTCAGCTTCACTAAAATTTTTCTTTAGCGACAAACACGCTGCAGTTATATCTTTGTTGAAATCAATGTTACTTAGTAGATGAGAGCTTAGATATCAACTACTTTTCTACTACACTAACAAGCGATGTTGATTGAAAATTCGACTAATGAATTTTTTTTATTTCAAAGAATGACAACAGCTGTGGAGGCCGAGCGAGCGAACGCGTAAGTGATAAATTCATTTGTATTAAGGAAGGGCAAACTTTTTGGCATTTATCTTTAATAAAGAGGAAAGAAAATTTACATGAAAAACAGCTATCACAATGCACTTAAGTGGAAATAGGTGTTTCCGTGGTGGAAAAAAGCACAGCGAACGAGTGCAAACGAGTGACATGTCTCTTACTTGATTCGAACAACTGATCCGCGAACACCTCGTGAAACTGAACAAATTCCTCAAAGCCTGAAGGCGAATGTGTTTTTTTTTGTCTGCCCCAAAGCTGTTGGACTTTGTGAACCAAAATTTCAGTGAACATATTAAAAATAAACACGAACGAACAGTATTACACTTATGTCTACATTCAGCGCCGTCGAGACCTACCGACCTGTCTGCATCTTAAGTTTCCTTTCTACCGCCGAAACTGACGTTCTCGTTCCAGTCCTTTCCCAGTCAACAGACGGCGTCGTCGTAAGTTTCGTCGTGGTTCTTAAGTTCCCTAATGTTACGATAAGGACGACGAAGACGGTGGAATCAGTTCAACTAAACGGCGTCGTCGTAAGTTTCGTCGTGGTTCTTAAGTTCCCTAATAGGGAACTTAAGAACCACGACGACGACTTTGTCGACGACGACCGGAAGTGAGTTACGGAATACTGCGCAAGGGCGACCAGTAAATTTCGTTGTCGTGGTCTCGTCGACGACGCCAAACAAAGTAGAATCACGTCGTCCTGCAATCCACAAGCCTTGGCAGGTATAAGTCCACTGTTTTAAGCGATTTTTGAAGTCCTTTGCATTTTCTTATCCTGGTGAATCCAAGTGTCGTTCCTTTTTTCTCCTAACAAGCGATGTTGATTGAAAATTCGACTAATGAATTGTTTTTACCGCTTCGAAGAATGACAACAGCTGTGGAGGCCGAGCGAGCGAAGTCGTAAGTGATAAATTTATTTGCACGTATTTAGGTAAGACAAATCATGTATCTTTAATATATATATATATTTAATTAATATTACTTCCTCTATATAGAGGAAATAAACTTTATGTGGAAAACAGCTATCACATCAGAATGTCGCTTTTTCCAAATCTAAACTCTGACAGGCACTCGGACTCGGTCATGTCATGCAGGTCGAAAGTTGAATAATTTTTGTACGGAAAGCAGGTGTTTTTCCACTCGTAAAGGTCAGCCAACTAAAAAAATTCTCCATCGTCCATGAAATTAGGCGCACGGCTTAAAAAATAAGATCTTGCGTTGTTTTAAAAGACGCCATTGCGAAAAACTTTGTTGCGAACGAACATCACAGTTTACATTTGTGTTTACACTCAGTGTCGTCGTCGTCGACCTACCGACCGACTGCATCTTAAGTTTCCTTTTTCCCGCCGAAACTGACGTTCTCGTTCCAGTCTTTTCCCAGTCAACAGACGTCGTCGTCGTGAACTCCGTCGTGGTTCTTAAGTTCCCTAATATTAAAATAAGGACGACGAAGACGGTGGAATCAGTTCAACTAAACGGCGTCGTCGTAAGTTTCGTCGTGGTTCTTAAGTTCCCTAATACTACGATAAGGACGACGAAGACGGTGGAATCAATTCAACTAAAAGGCCGCTTAAAAATCGTTGGCTCTTTTCTTCCTTTTTACCTGCCACTGCGTTTGTGTTGTTACTCACCCAAGCAAATTGTACTGTTATTGGACTCCTGGAAACCTTTTGGACATTTACAAGTCTTGTTGCCTTGTGACATTTGGAATCCATTTGGACACTTACAATAGTAACTTCCTGGAATGTTGATACACATATGGCTGCAGTTGTTTTTAACATTCTTATTGCATTCATCGATATCTGTAAAAGACCAAATTGTCATATTGACAGTCAATATTTCAGATGTTACTTCACAGCAGTATACCAAGATTATTCCATGTCTTGAAATTTTCGACGACTCCGAAAAAAAAAACCATTAGTCCAGCCATATGGTGTAAAAAAAATAGCTGAATTATGCACTTTGGGGTAAAAGCATCAAACTTGGCACAGTGATAGTACAAGTTCTATTGACTATTTTTAGCTATGGACCCCACTCAAATATCTTCAGGGGGAGGCACATTGTGCCCTAGGGGGAAGGGGTCATGGCCTTTTTGTTTTGGTCCTGAAAAGACTCAAAAAAGGGAGAAAAGCAGTCTCATTTGCATGGTGTCCATCACGATAACCTCGAACATAACCCTAGTAGTACTACCGCAACTAGTTCTGTACATGGCACAGTAATATCGTCAAGGCTCTCGAGAGATGAAAATTCTATGTCGAGGTGCTGAACTTCTATCACGCAATCAAACATCAGCTTTCTTAGGAAGAGAGAACTACCTGGGCCACAAGAATGTTTTATGGAGAGCACTGAACTTTTTACATCCCTTAGCAAACTATGAAGGATATTCAAGAAACTATGCCCGTGCTTGAGAGATTTGTTGTCCTAATATCTGACCACACAACCGAAGTCAAAGAGTCACTGATGCCAGAAACGTTTTGTATATTTGCGCAGAAGAGAAGAACCCTTGAGACCTCCTGTCTATTGACCATGCATTACATGTATTTCAGTACACCAAGAGAGTTGATTACAAAGATGGACATTGTTGAGGACAGTGCTTTGAATGGGGAGCATCAAGGGAATCATAAGAGTCAGATGCGTGGAAACCTCTATGCTCCACCTCACTGTGAGCATCAAAGGTGTAACTAAAATCAGCCCCAACCCCCCACCACCACCACCACCACCACCACCACCACCACTACCATGGAGATGAGGGATGAGGTCAGAGGAGAAGCTATTCGCTAAATGATTTGAAGTTATGCCAAACTTCAGGAAAGTCATTGTATTTTCCCTCACAGGAGAAACTTATACAAACATGGGTATAGAGATACTCCCACCCCTCCCCCTAAGCTGGGTTCAAACCTCCCCCCCTCCCCCAACGCCACTTAAAAATTAGATTATTTAGACCCAGTTTAACTTTCTTGGGACATCACGCCTTATTGATATGGAAAGATTGGCTTGTATTTACCGCTGTCTTTTCAGTAACATCAGTTTATTTGAAAAATGCAACCACCCCACCCCCCTAAGTACAAAATTTTTCCCCTGACTGGGGTCCATAGCTACTATTGTTCAGCAGCCCAAGTACTATTATCATGCTAAATTTGGTGCTTTTACCCCTAAGTGCACAATTTTTTCACCATATGGCTTGACTACACGGCAGAAATCAAAATCTTTTCACTTAATTGACAGTTTATAATTAAAATAATAATAATAATAATAATAACAATAACAACAACAACAATAATAATTAATAAACTATGAACAGGTAAAAAACATGCGAAATGGTTATTTGCTTACACAATGAAACTATAGAATTCAAAGTTACCACTTAGCACACAGATGTATGCCAAATTTTTTCAAATGTTTTGAAATTATTCTTAATTCTGGTAAAACAGGAAACTACATGGAAAATCAGATACTACTTACCCAAACACATTGTCCTGTTATTCGACTCCTGGAAACCTTTTGGACATTTACAAGTCTTGTTGTCTTGTGACATTTGGAATCCATTTGGACACTTACAATAGTAACTTCCTGGACTATTGATACACAAATGGCTGCAGTTGTTTTTAACATTTTCATTGCATTCATCGATATCTGTAACAGACCAAATTGAAATATGACTTGCCAATTGAACTTTCAGTAGTTACTTCACAGCAGTATACCAGGATTATATTAAGTCTTGTAATTTTCGACGGTTTGAAATAAAAACTACGACAGAAATCAAAATCTTTTCCCTTTATGGTCAGTTTATACTTGAACAAAGAATAATAGCAGCAACACTAATAATTAATAAACCATGAACTGGGTTAAAAGAGTACGAAATGGTAAATAAAACTATATATATATATATTTAAAGCTATCACTTAGCTTATGCCAATTTTTTTCCAACGTTTTGGTATCATTCTTAACTCTGGCAAAACACCACTTAATTGCTATAATACGTGTTTTAGGTCTAATAAACCAAAGTACGAAACTACACGAGAAAATTAGATGCTACTTACCCAAGCACATTGTCCTGTTTGCCGACTCCTGGAAACCTTTTGGACATTTGCAAGTCTTGTTGTCTTGAGACATTTGAAATCCATTTGGACACTTACAATAGTAACTTCCCTGACTATTGACACATAAATGGCTGCAGTTGCCTTTAACATCGGGATTGCATTCATTTACATCTGTAGAAAAAGAAAGAAAGAAAAAAGTGGTAATAAGTCCTTGACATTAACTGTTCTACTTACCACAGCTGCCTCTACTGCTCCAGTACTGTTACTACAACAGTTTGTACTGGTGCTGCTTCCAATATCACCACAAACATACGTCTCTCCTCCCCCAAAATTCTCGTTTCGCTTGGCAACATCTGTCGCAGGAGCACGGCCCAGTTAAGGGGTCATTATCAGGTTCAATTTTAGCGTGATAACGTAAGAGAGAATGTATGGGAGCTCTTGAAAATGGGGCTGATCAAAGGTTATTACTAGCACTACCATTACGTCTACCACTACCGCTACCACCACTCCTATCAATACCACAACCACAACCCTCACCAATGCTATTACTCTTAAAACCGCCAATACCACTTCCACCACTAACACTGCCATCACCACTAACAATACCCTTACCACTAGAACTACCAGTAACCTTTATAAAATTACCACCACTAACAACATCACCACTACCACTACCACTATGACCACCAATACCACAAAAAAACACCCTAACACAACCACCAACACCACTACCACTATCACTGCAACTACCAATACAACAAAAAGCACCACTAACAGCACCACCACCACTACCACTACCACTATCACCACCACTACCAATATCACTACCACTATGACCATCAATACTACAAAAACCACCCTAACACCACCACCACTACCACTATCACTAACACTACCAATAGCACAAAAACCACCACTAACACCACCACCACTACCAGTACGACTACCAATACCACAAAAACCACTACTAACACCACCACCACCACAACTACCACTGTCACTACCACTACCACTTCCACTCCCACTACCATTACCACTACCACTGTCACTACCAATGTCAGTACTACTACCACGCTTCTTGTGCTCCAAATACCAACTCCTCTACAAGAAAAGTGATGAAACTATCAAGACAACGATACAAAAAGAAATCAGAAAAAGAAACAGGTTTGGGAAGCAAGACTTACAATTCCGCTTATCTAACACGCTTTTCATTTATTCTTTTTTTTACCTTGACTGCACAACTAAGACATGAAAACATCAAAATTTACGTTTTTACTGAGAACGAACGGCAAGGCCAAAAACTGTGCTGTATCAACTTAAGCTCGAACCAGTTGAGAACTAATTTTCATTTCGCGAAGATTTGAACGATGTTACGATAAGGACAACGAAGACGGTGAGATCAAATTCAACTAAAAGGCATCATTACCTGCCACTCTCTTTGTACCGGTACTTACCCAAGCATTGTCCTGTTATTCGACTCCTGAACCTTTTAGACATTTACAAGTCTTGTTGTCTTGAGACATTTGGAATCCATTTGTACACTTGCAATAGTAACTTCTGGACTATTGACACATCTATGGCTGCAATTGCCTTTAAATTCTGGATTGCACTCATCGATATCTGAGAGAGACAAAACTGAAATATGACTTGTCGCTGTCAATACTTCAGATGTTACTTAAAAATTATACCAGGATTATTCTACGTCTAGTATGTTTCGACGACTGTAAATAAAAACTACGACATAAATCACTTTATTGTCAGTTTATACTTGAATCAGTTAACAAAAATAACAATAATAAATGAACCATGAACAGGCTAAAAAAAGAGGAAATGGATAATATTTGCTTACAATGGTTAATATTTGCTTACAATTCATTCAGGTCCAATAGTCAAAAAGTACGAAACTGCAGGGCAAAATTAGATGTTACTCACCCAAGCACAGTGTCCTGTTCGCCGACTCCAGGAAACCTTTTGGACATTTACAGCTCTTGTTGTCTTGTGACATTTGGAATCCATTTGGACACTTACAATAGTAACTTCCTTGACTATTGACACATAAATGGCTGCAGTTGTTTTTAACAGTCTGATTGCATTCATCGATATCTGTAAGAGGCCAAATTGAAATATGACTTGTCAATATCAATTTCAGATATTACTTCACAGCAGTATAACAGGATTTTTACTGGTCATATAATTTTCGACGACTTGAAAATATAACGACGACAGAAATCAAAATCCATTCCCTTATTTGTCAGTTTATAATTAGCAATACGTAACCGAACATACAAACAT